CCCACTATATTATCTATCTATTGATAATCATGCTCTAAATCTCTTTTTCTCTCTTTAAAGTAGAGGAAACTAGATTTCTTCTCAATTACTCTCAATTGGTAATTACCTAGTAGAATATAGAAGAAAAAAATATATATTTGTCTAATAGTCGCACCCTTTGTGATTCGCATATTTTAAAATAAATACACTCCTATTTACTTGAGAAATTTAATATTGGAACTGGTTTGGAGACTGTAACAGACATCACCACTCATGTGTACGCACACTTAATGCATGGAGATTTGATTGATTGGACTTTTAAAGTATTTCTGACTCACGTGGTTCGTTTTCTTAGAGGGATCTGACGTCAAATTATTTAATAAGAGTTGAGTTGCTATCCTGACCATGTGTGTCAAATGGGAACATGGAGAAACTTCTAACAATGACCTTTATTTCACCTAACTTGGACGACTAATTAAGTAGAGGAATTAGAGTTGTGAACTTTTGTTTATATGATTATTTGTTTTGCTTTTCCAGTTCCACTTCTAACAATGTTCACAAGAAAGGACGTTAGTCATTCAATACTAGAGCTAGATAATGTTTTTCCGTTGGGATAATCATAAAACGCTAAAGAAAGAAGCTACATGAATGCAATTTTGTTTTAAAGAGTTTATATGTTTAATACGTTTGATGAAAATTATGAATGAACTTGTTTCCTTGACTTAATTAATTTTGTGTGTGTTATAAACAGGAGGGTTTGGTAGTTATCTCTTTGGGATGAGTGATATTGTCGCTAAACAATCAGCCGAAGCCAATACTCCTCTCAACATTAAAAATCCTCATTTGGGTTGGATGATTGGATTCCTCTTCGTTGTTAGCTTTCTTGGTCTTTTCTCTGTCGTTCCTCTTCGAAAGGTAGGAGCCAAATCATCGACAATATCTCTGATCGCAAACCATTTTTTTTTTTGTAACAATCTAATGAATTTTTGCTTCAGATCATGATAGTGGACTTCAAATTGACATATCCTAGTGGTACTGCCACTGCTCATCTCATCAACAGCTTCCACACACCTCAAGGTGCCAAACTTGCAAAGTAAGAATCTTTGATCATGCCCAGCAATAATCCTAACTAGGATTTCTATTGTTCTGAATATTGATCACTTTCTTCTCAAACAACAACAACACAGGAAGCAAGTTAGAGCATTGGGGAAGTTCTTCTCATTCAGTTTCTTGTGGGGTTTCTTTCAATGGTTCTTTACTTCTGGTGACGACTGTGGTTTTGCTAACTTCCCTACCTTTGGTCTCAAAGCCTATAAAAACAAGTATGTAAACTCTTCTTATATTCCCTGCTCATGGAACGAAATTGAGATTTCGTCTATCTAAGTTCTTTTCTTTTGTTTTGTTAATTGAAAAATAGGTTCTACTTTGATTTCTCGGCTACATATGTTGGTGTTGGAATGATATGCCCATATCTGATCAATGTGTCTCTTCTCGTTGGATCAATACTCTCTTGGGGTGTTATGTGGCCTCTCATTGATGCCCAAAAAGGCAACTGGTATTCTTCTGATCTTGGTTCAAGTAGTCTCCACGGCCTTCAAGGCTACAAGGTACTCTTTCCGTTTCATAACAAATGTTGTTTTTGCACAATCTAAACAAACTTGAATTCTGCTTGATGCATCAGGTGTTTATAGCCATAGCTATGATCCTTGGTGATGGTCTCTACAACTTCATCAAAGTCCTAGGCCGCACTATCGTTGGTCTATACAAACAATTCAAGAACAGAGATGTTCTTCCTGTCAACGACCGGTCATCACCAACTGCCATAACCATTTCTTACGACGACAAACGAAGAACAGAGCTTTTTCTCAAAGACAGAATCCCATCATGGATTGCTGTATCCGGTTATGTAGTCATGGCCATAGTCTCAATCATCACAGTTCCACACATCTTCCCTCAGCTTAAATGGTACCACATCTTGACCATGTACATAATCGCCCCTGTCCTAGCCTTTTGCAACGCCTATGGTTGCGGACTCACCGACTGGTCCTTAGCTTCTACTTACGGCAAACTCGCCATTTTCACTATTGGAGCTTGGGCTGGTGCAGCCAACGGAGGCGTTTTAGCCGGACTCGCGGCTTGTGGTGTAATGATGAACATTGTCTCGACCGCTTCTGATCTTATGCAAGATTTCAAAACCGGTTACATGACATTAGCCTCACCAAGATCAATGTTCTTGAGCCAAGCGATTGGAACCGCTATGGGCTGCGTCATCTCTCCTTGTGTATTCTGGCTATTCTACAAGGCCTTTCCCGACTTTGGTCAAACCGGGACCGCTTATCCCGCACCGTACGCCCTAGTCTACAGAAACATGTCGATACTCGGAGTGGAAGGATTCTCTGCTTTGCCTAAACATTGCCTCATGCTCTGTTACATATTCTTCGCAGCTGCCGTGTTTGTCAACGGTGTAAGGGATCTCGTGGGACCGAAGTGGGCGCGATTTATCCCGCTACCGATGGCTATGGCTATACCATTTTACATCGGAGGGTACTTCACGATCGATATGTGTGTAGGAAGTCTGATATTGTTCATCTGGAGGAAACTGAATAGACCAAAAGCTGATGCATACTCTTCAGCTGTGGCTTCTGGTTTGATTTGTGGTGAAGGCATTTGGACATTACCAAGCTCTATACTTGCTTTGGCTGGTGTTAAGCCTCCTATTTGCATGAAGTTCTTGTCTAGCTCGACCAACGTTAAGGTTGATTCCTTCTTAAACCCTTAAGTGTTTTTTTCTTTTGGTTTTTCCTTTTAAGTTTGGTTTTCTTAGGGTCAAGATTTCTTATATTTTCTACGTTTTTCTGTCTACCTTTCCTAGTG